TTTTGTGAGAGGGATCAGGAGACTGATTTGAGTCTTCCCAGGTAATATTTTACTATTAGCAATACAATAATCTTGCTCTCCACTATTTCCAGAAATTCAAGGCAGAACATATAGGATTATGTCTGTTTTCTCCCAGCAACCAGTGTTTGATTTAGATATTAAAGGATGTTGGTTCTATCCTTTATATCTCACTGAGAAGAGTAGGTGATTTTTACCATTGCAGGTTCCTCTCTCAAGTTCTGTCTTGTCGTATTCAAGAATTCCATTCAAACATGGATTCTTGAATTGCTAAAAACAAAGCCTTTTGGAGTCAGAATCCTTCATAAGAGATAGGAAGAAAGAGTGAACTCTGAATGAGTGGATTTTAACAATAATTTCATATATGTCTGCTTCTCGGAAGGATATTACTTTTTTACTTTTATTTTAGGTTTTACAATAGTTTTAAAATAGTTAGGATGGTCTCTGTTCTCATTTTGCCTCGACGTTTTTCTTCTCGTACAATTTTTATTCCACGGTCGTTTGAGCGTTTTTGCCAAATTACAAAGACTCCCGAACTAGCCACTTCCAAAGAGGGATAAATGGATAATGATAGGGAAATCTTTCTCAGCAACCCAGCAAGCAATTGAGCTACATAGAGAGGCAAATGGGAATGGTAATATACATTTCACACATGCATCAATAAAGTTGACAAGGCACCATCCCAGCTTCAAGAGCAGCCTCTGCTGCCAGCAGGAACAGTTGGCATAAATTTAGAATAGAAACCAATTAAAAGATAACAAGCTAACATAAGAGAACATATGCTCGTGATAGCAAGAATCTAATTTTTTTTTAAAAAAAAAAAACCATGACCTCCAGCTATCACAGGGGAAGTTTAAATATTGTTCAAAATCCCTACAAAAGAAATTCAAAGCAGTCGTTTCTGGCTTTTGGACACTGCGTTGACCTTGGCCAAGCAATTTATATTAATGAGGGGAAGTCAAAGCAACGGTAAAGATCTTAAAAATCTGGAGAAAGGGTATTAATGATGTTCACTAACTTAAATCCAAAGTCTGTGCCAGGAAAGAGTCCTCCTTTATGTTCAGAATGTATTGCACACATGACTTTGTAAGCAGGTTTATTTTATTTCGTTTTTTTTTTTTTGCATAAATGTGCACAATTTAAATGCCGCAAGTAAACCATATGGCACTTTTGGTCTTGTAATCTGCACAAGATATGTAAGAAGGCTGGAAGGAGAAGAAGGTAGGTACGTAGAGAAATATGGGCAAAAGTAAAATGTGGAAGTAAACTGGAATGCTGACTGTTCTGACCCCCCCTTTTCTGTCCAGGAACAAAAGCCAAAAACAAACGTAAATAAGAATACTTTTAATCAGTCCAGACTCTTGTTGGCTGCAAGCCACATAAACAAAGAGATAAGCACTCCGGCAGCAAGTCCTACAAAAATTAGCAGCAATGCAAACAAACTCTGGCAGCAATCCAGCCTGCCAAGTTTGTTTCTTGTTAATCGTGAACGTTGACTTCTGCAGAAAGGCATGGCACAAGCAGTCTCTTTTATAGTCAGGAGAGGATCTTAATGAGCATCAGCCGAGCGTAATCACCTCCGGTGATTACGCAGTTGTTCTTGATGCCAAGTAGCCCTTCGACGGCGTGCATCCCGGAACAACTCAAAGGTGTTTTCTGGATCACTCATTCTTGTCTCCTCTCCACTGATCCAAGACTCAGGCGCCACCTCAGGTGGCCAACCAGTCTCTCTGTGCCCTGCTCGGAGTCGGAACTCTGTCCAGGGTCCTCCACCTCCTCCAGGGCCAACTCATAAGACCCCTCGCCGTCGGGGTCTGGTGGCAGCTCCAACGGCTCCTGCCGGGCCACAACAACTGATTATTTGG